AAAAAAAAAAAAAAAAGAAAAAAAAAAAAAGATTATAATTACTAGGACAAAGTGCCTGAGGCAGGCTGATAGCCTAATTTACCACACAAATTTGGAGGCTAAAACTGGAGGGCCTATTAGATAACATCTTGGTAAAAGCACAGGTAGGTGCAAGATTTCATTACAAAGCAGGTAGCCAGAGAATGACCTCCCTCTTGTAACAACTCCAAATCTCACAAGAACTAACATTCTTTCTGAGACTAATTGCTTCATTAAACTCCCACTTGCCTCCATCTCTCTAATGTCCCACCATTTCTCACTACTACCACATTAGAAACCAAGCTTTCTACAAGAACCCTTTGGGAACACATTCAAACAGTATACAATTCACACCAGGGACAATACACATCAGACATTTAACAAGACTTCACAGAATTAACTCATGCTCATTGTTGCTGATTTCATGTTTAAGAAGTGTAAACACACACACATACACCACTCACACTCTCATTGATCAAAAAGTATGGCAGCAGATTGCGAACTATTTTCTCTAAATGTAAGAGCTGTCTTTAAAACTGAATATAAACTTTTGAAACTGTACTAGAATATAGTGAATTTTAACAGCTTGAATTTCAACTTCAAAGTTACCTTCCTTGGTGATGAAACTGCTCTGATATATTGAATTCCAGAGCAGTGCAACATGACAGTTTAACATTCTGTGTTGCATTGTACTGGCCACTCATCTGGGTGAGGTTCATGAGCTTGGAGTTCAGTACAAAATCATGCAATCTTTGGCCTAACCAACTTCCATTATTGCCTTTACTTGTTAGTAAAGTCTGACTTGAATTATTCTGGCCCAGTTTTTCTCATAATGCTAAATAATCAGGTTAACTTTTCAGATCTGTGTTATTCACCTCATCTTCCTCCACTTCCTCCCTCCCCACTCCTTCTTCTTCTCTCCCCTTCCCTTTGTTTCTTCCCTGGGCTTCTGGTAATCTACTTCTACATGGATCCTCAGATGGTTCAGCTATTTGGCATGCTTTCACATTTCCTATATGTCATCAAGTCTGTTTATACAGTGAATTTAAGTCATGTTTATAATTCTGTTAGCAATGCTAAGAGATGGAAATTTTACTTAACAGAGGAGACATCTCAAAAGCATCATGTTCTTTCCAGTATTGATTTGAAGTTGTCTTCTTTAGAACCTTTACCTATAAAAGAGTGAAGACCTTTCTCTATATTCTCTAACTGCTCTTACTTAAGCGAGATGATTAAAAAGCCGTGTGTAGTATGTCTTCATTATATTCGTATTTTATGTCATATCCTTCAATTTTATGGATAGTTGTTACCAGAATAACAGTAGTAGTACTGAGTTGGCATGTACATCCAATAAAAACGATGACTCCAACAGTTTCCTTTCTGATCTTTGTCAGGACACAAGTTGCCTAATTAGTTGACCTAAACTGAATAAAATCTGCATAAAAATTCCTTACTGTATCCTGCTGCCAACAAAAACCCATTGTGTTCATTAAAGCTTGTTTTATTGGTTGGGGCTTAAAGCTTGTTTGATTGACTTCCGTAATGCCTTTCTGTGGTTGTGTTTAGGAAAGTCTAATTAGCACATGTGAGTGAAAACACTTTTTGCCATATTGTGAAAGGACAGTCCTTATTCTTAATCATTTTGTGGGACTATAGAAATAATTTTGCCAGATGAAACCATGCAAAATGGTCTTACTAATCAGTGGAGTGATTAGGAATGTCACTCCATCCTTAAATTTTCCATCAGACATTCCGAACACTCACTGCTTGCACATGTACGAGGCAGCACTGTTTTGGTCTTAGGGCAGCTTCTTGATGGCTTTACTTTGAATCTTTCTCTTCTGGACTTACACTCAGACCTCGACACCCTGGTCTCCACTTGATGAGGACTTTACCAATTTATTTACCCATTTTATATTACTACATTTTGAGATTTTCCAGGTTTTGTTTCTGTTGCCATAACTAGTATATTAGTTATGTATATTAGTTAGTATATAATACTCTTTTATGTGCTTCTTTGTGTGTATGTAATGGTCTCCTTAGGGTATGTATGTACCTAGAAGTTTTGACAATTGGATAGGATGTTCTCAATAGTACTAGATAATTTGAAATTGCATTTTTTGTATGTTAATGATTTTTTTCTCAGTGTCTCATGAATCTTCTTGATATATTAAAATCTAGGTTTATTCTCCAGTAGTCAGACCACTGATACTGTGATGGTTTGTAGTATTTCAGACAGAAATGAGCTCTTCTAATTGTAATAGATAAATCCTATAGCAGATTCAGACAACTGTAGTCTTCAGACCAAATCTAATTTGCAGCTTGTTTTGTTCCAGACTTCTAACAATGAATTCCACATTTTTTAAGGATTTTTTTTCAAAAATGAAGAGTAAGAATAATATGTAAGTCTGTTATCTACAGAGCCCAAAATATATAAATAATTGTAATATTGTGGTGTTTTTATGTTGTGGGTTTTTTTTTTTTTTTTTTTGGTTTTTTGAGACAGGGTTTCTCTGTGTAGTTTTGTGCCTTTCCTGGACCTCACTTGGTAGTCCAGGCTGGCCTTGAACTCAGAGATCCGCTTGCCTCTGCCTCCCGAGTGCTGGGATTAAAGGCATATGCCACCACCGCCCGTGTATATTGTGTTATTTTTAATGTGATTAATTTTTGCTTGCACAGGCAAGCTAAGAATTCTCGTTAAAGCTGATTAGTACAGTTTGATAGAATTCGATTCCTCTTATATGATACCTAGAGACAGGAAAGAAATAGATAATCAAAAGGCAGTTCAGACAGGAGCAGCAGCTTGTGACTAGGCACTATGGAGCTTTACCAAAAAGTGGTTATGAGAATGGGATTCTGGGATGGTTAACAGTGTGGATGATCCTGAGACTCCTCTGGCAAGGGTAGTGGCTAAGAGTGCCTGCATGGCCTTGTCATGTTGAGTGTAACATTGACACTGGAAACATTCAAGAACTTTTGTCATAGATTGCATGGATCTTGTTCTTACTCTTTTTGTTTTTTTCCCCCTTTCTTAATACAAGGAAAATATGGGTGACTGTGAAGACACCAAATCACTGGTTTCTTTCCTTACAGGGGCCTGAGTTAATGAATAAATATGTCGGTGAATCTGAAAGAGCAGTTAGAGAGGTAAGAAGAGGACCATACTCCACCCTTTTGTGTACTTTTACTTAGTTTTCAGTACTGAGAAGTGGCATAAGTTTTCTTCAAGCAAATACTATTTTATGATTTAAAATGCAACTTTGAGTACTCTTTAATATTTTGTGTTTGTTCCTATCTACCATACTATCCTAACTTTTATTATTACCCAAAATTAATTTTAATAACTACCATCCCTCCCCATGTTTGTGAAAGGAAATGTCTATCTTTATGGAGGACAGTATTGTATGGAATTTTAAACTTTTATATTAGATAGCCTTTTTATCTTAAATAAGCATCATACTTGAAATTTTTACCTTACTGACTTGATCTTACTTCTGCTTGATGATTTAGAAGTGTATCTTCCTTCTGTCAGCTGACTTTGAAAGTCAGACCTTTAATGCCAGCTCCTGACTGTAATGCTTCTTCATTCTAGCTGTTAAAGTTGCGGCAACTAGAGTCACCAACCTGCCTCACACAGTGTCCCCACTTGTTCATAGAATACACAAATAGCAATGGGATATTGGCTCTTACTTGTGAAGACTTTAGTGCTAACCAGGAAAAATAGGGTTTCAAATATTTGTCACAAGAAACTATTTAAAATGACGTTTTGTCTTTTCTTTTTTAAAATGTAGATGATGGTAATTTTGTAAAGTATTAGTTGAAATGACAGCATGAGAAACAGCAATATCTACTAATATTGAACTGGCTCCTATATCTTTATGATCATGTGACGCATGATCAAAAAATAATGGTCTAAGTTATAAGAGACACATATCTAGATGTTTTTCTGCCCATGCTGCCTTCTTCCAAGCTCATTTTCATACATTGTTCCATTGGCTGTTCGTTGTGTAAGACACTGACTTTTCATGGTTTATCTGTTCAAGTCTATGGTCCTATATGACATTTTTCTTGCCTGGGTTTTATGTCAACCATTTTCCTGTACATTTTAACAGAAAATGATTATGACTTTGATATAATATGAGCATTTTATATGGATTTTATTTGTGTTTTATGATAGTATTATTTATTAAGTTCCAGATATTGGGCCAAATGTTTTAGGCCCAATTTGTTACTCATTTCCTATTCTTCTGAGGTCTGTATGAATTATTACCACCATCCTTTTCTAGATGTGGAAATTGAGATCTGAAGAAGAAAATTTGCCTGCTGAAGCTCACACAGCACTTGTTGGAGCTGGTATTTAGCTGAATTTCTCTGATTACTTAACTGGTCTTCCCTGTACTGTATTAATGAGTAGTCTATTCACCACTAAAGAAGTTACTTTTAAAGCACTCAGTGTTTTGGACACCCGCTATAGGGTATAAATGAAGTGATCAGGCTGGTAGTTTTGTACATGATAGATTTGATTTTATATGGTTTTCAGAAAGAAGCCAACTTTGGAATTTTCTAGCATTTGTTAATCTTATCTACTGTGGTATTCTTTCCATTAGATATTCCGTAAAGCAAGAGCAGTGGCACCTTCCATTATCTTTTTTGATGAACTTGATGCTTTGGCAGTTGAAAGAGGCAGGTAAGAAATGTTAAATATTAGAATGTTAAATAATAACAGTATCATTTTTATGCAAATTTTATCTATTACTATATTTTTCTAGAAGAAACTATTTTTGAATCTGTGCAGTTACTTTCTCTTTTACCCACTTATTTAATCTAATTACTTTGTATAATCATTTCCTATACAATTGGAAAAAATACGAATAAAATTGAAGGATTTGAGTTAATTTTTAGTTTATGTACAAAGGTCCCTTAGTACTATATATTAGAAGTAATAGTATTAATATAAACATATAGTTAAAAGTGAAAACAAAGTTTAATTAAATATAATTATTTAGTATAGTAGAAGCAAATTATAAAAGTTGTTCCTAAATGATCCACACAAAAATCTTATTTTCATGTTTCTAGCTTTGTGTTGATGAAGCAAAATGGTCTCCTCTTTAGACAGTGTCAAATATAAAAGGCTTGAAAGAGAGAGAAAAAGGGTTATTATGTAGATTTTAGGATTCTCTAGAATCAACTTAAAATAAAATAGAATGTAGATTATCTTAAATGATTGGACCAAAAGTGCTTTAAATTTTAGAATTTTTAAGTTTTGGTATGTTTTCTTAGACATTGATGACAAGATACTCAGAGTTTTAAGTCCTGAGCATTTCAGATGTGTTATTGTTGTGACATAATCAGTTTTTCAAAATACAGCATAATAATTATCATGGCATGAGCATTCTTTGAAGATAGATTTCAATGTATCATTTCTATACTTTTGCTTTTGGTGTTGGGGACCAAACCTAAGACTTGGACCTTGCTGTTCATGTGCTCTTCCCCTGAATTAAACCTCTTGTCCAGCAGATGTTTGTTGTAACAGAACTCATTAGTGAATTCTTAAGTTGCTGTATTGCAAAGACATCCACAACAGACACATACTAGTGGAAAAGTGGCTGGCTAGCCACATCATCTGTGTATAGTTTGCCAGTTTTGTGTTTTAGTATAATCCTTTGATTATATTAAATGCCTCATGGCATTGTGTGTCTTTTGAGAATAATTTGGACAGAGGTCTTGACTTATGAAAGGAAATTACTATATTATAAATGTCTAACTAGTATTTTCTGTTGCTAAATGTTTTTGAAAGTTCTGTTGCTTTTCTCTAGCAGATAGTCAAGTTTTATGACATTTCATTATTTTAGTGAATATTTGTATTTAAGCTTTTTCTTAATGTTGGCTTTGATTTCCTAGGATCTCAGTTTTATGGTTTTTGTTTCCTACTGATGTTTTGAAAGTCAGTCAAATTGTTTTCTTGGCCTATGAAATGTTTTCACCAAATTGCTCTCAAATTAGGTCTCAGTGGTTATGTGTATATAAAAGGCAAAAATGATAGGAGTAATCAGAATGGAAGAATTCCCCTCTTAATCTTAATGTTAAACTACCATTCTTTCCTATAAGAAATAGTGATTAGATATTTAACCCTTCCTATGTAGAAGTGACAAGAGATACTAATAATGTGTTTCTATATATATGTGCTTTAATCAAAAATACTGAGTAATTTCCCATAGGTACTATATAACGACAAAGAGCCACAAAATCTTGAATCTGAAAGAATATTTGCATAGTTTGTTTAAACTAACTTCCTAGATTATACTTGTCAAATCCTCAAGAGAACCATAGTATTTTATCCTCTTGTAGGTGCCAAGCACAGTGCACATAGTCACACAGTTGAATAATCAAAATATTGAGTAATAAGAATGAGGTGCTAGAGGGTTTGAATCAGTGTGGTACTTAGGAGCTCCTGAGTCCAGCTTCTGCTCATAGGTGTTCCTGTCATTGGTAAATAGATTTTCTGTTGTATTTAAACATACTGTGTTATGAAATTTTATCACCAGCATTTCTGTTCATGAATTTTTTGTCAGGGGGGTGGTTCAAAATAAATCATTCCTTGAGGACTCACAAGGCATTTGAGCATGCAATCAGCTGTTGAAATTAAATGTGAGGAACTCTACAAGTATATGACAGCAGTCTGCTGAAACGCCTAGGTGCAAAGGCCTTTTAGTAGTAAACTGAATATAGGCTGATCATTTCCATCATGCCTGGCTGTTACAAAGGATGTCATAGGAGATGCTCATAGTACTAGATTGTGGTTTCCATATACTATTTTGTAATGAAAGATCTGTAGGGAACTGGCAAATTTTCTTGTTTTTTTTTGTTTTTTGAGACAGGGTTTCTCATGTATCCTTTGATGTCCTGGAATTCACTCTGTAGACCAGGCTGGTCTGGAACTCACAGAGATCTGCCTGCCTCTGCCTCCAGAGTGCTGAAATTAAAGGCATGCACCACAGTGGAAACTAGCAATATTGATTTGAATGTATTTACCCAAAGTGTGTTATTTCCAAGGTTCTGAAAATCTTACATTATGTTCACCCAACTGCTACTGCCCCCCTACTTCCTTTTCTTTCTCCGCTGTCATCCTCCTTTGCCTCTTCTTTGAGGTGTGTGTATATGTATGATTGTGTGTGCTTTGAAGATCAACCCAAGGCCTTGGGCATGTAAGACAAACACTATAGCATAAAGTAAATACTTGTGCACCACACTGCATTTCAGTTCTCTAAGGTAACTTTAAATAAAAGATGATATGTATTTTTATAAAACTGTGAGAATGATAATTATAATGATGGTGCTTGTAACTACTACCTACTGGTACTTCCTATGTACTGCATCCTCTGTTGGAGCCCTTCCATGTTGGTATTTAATTTTTAAGAAAAATTAATCAGTTGGTGTGCTGTAACAGAATACTAAATAGGTTTTGTTTTGTTATTAATTTATGTGTATGGGTATTATTGATATTTTTAAGTAAATTTGGATCTTGTGGATTTTTTTATTTTTATTTTTTTATTTATTTATTTTTTTTTTGTTTTGTTTTTTTGTTTTTCGAGACAGGGTTTCTCTGTGTAGCTTTGCACCTTTCCTGGAGCTCACTTGGTAGCCCAGGCTGGCCTCGAACTCACAGAGATCCGCCTGGCTCTGCCTCCGAGTGCTGGGATTAAAGGCGTGTGCCACCACGCCCGGCTATTTTTAATTTTATTGACTTTAATAGTTGTTTTTTCTGCTTTGACTGTTTATCTAGTAATTATGAACTCTTAGAACCTTTGCTAATGTTGCTATTTGATTGCTAAAGACTCTTAGAAATATTGTATTGTGGAGAATTGTGAAGGATATAGACTATTTAAAATGTTCAAAGTTTATTTCTAGGCAGAGTTAGGTAGCAAATATATACCTAATGGTCAGCTGACCTGAAAGGATTAGAACTTAGGCTTTCCACTTACTCTCTGATCTTGAAGAGTTTAAATACTGCAAAGGACCACTTGAAATCAACTTCGCACTTAGCATCAACACTTACAAATAGTATCTCGTGTCCTCTTGTAAGCTGTGGGTCAGAGGATTCTATTCTGTGGATGGTGACATCTGAGTCCTGTCACCACTGTACATGGTGGTTATGCTAGGTGTCCTGTCACAGATGCCAATGTAAAGAAAACATTCATCTTAGGACAGAAAACCCCTTTGTCCTTTCCTGCCCCTCCCAAGTACATTTCACTGGGTATCCGTATGTTAATATACACATACACAATGCTGTTTCATTCCATAGATTGGATAATTCATAGTTCTGAGTAGATCTAAAGAAATCAATATTATGAATGAATGAGAATTGTTAGCTTATGATCTTGATAAGCTTATGATCTCAGAGTTTTCATACTTGATTTAAGGATTTTGTGTCTGTGTGGAACTAGTTCTGTGAATGACTTCATGACCCAGTTTGTTCAGAAATGAGAGCTGTAATGACTACCCATCTGCTGCTGTGTTTTTAAAATATTTGGTAATTTCCATGCATCTAGAGAGATTAGAGATAGCCCATTTGTTTGGAGATATGCAGAATTTTTCAAGTAATTCAACCTTACTCTGAGCAATGAATCTGTATCATAAGGTATTTTTCTTTCACTGCCTGTCCCTGTCAATATGGCAGATGTAAGTTGTGACTGTCTTTAATTCTTTGTGTGTTTGAGGCACTGGTTGAAGTAATCTTATGTCTAACTTCCCAATCCTAGTGTCATTTACCATTTTAGTGTTAGAAAAGCCAGCATGTTTTATGATAATAGGAAAGGAAATTATTTGAATATAGTATTTGATACGATAATTCAATTACTAATAAGTTGTCAAACACACATTTGCAATAAAGAACTTTTAAAATAGTAAATAATAATTAGGATAGGAAAGAATATTTTTTAAACTGTTTTCAAAATATCAGTTCTTCAGGAGCTGGGAATGTTGCAGACCGTGTTTTGGCTCAGCTGTTAACGGAGATGGATGGGATTGAACAGCTAAAAGATGTAACAGTTTTGGCAGCTACTAATCGCCCAGACAGAATAGACAAGGTAAGAAATAAGGTGGTGTGGGTATTGTAGTCATTGGGTTATGTCTTTTTGTGTTATTGTTAAGTTTGTTTTGTCATATCTCATTTGAGTTTTTCATTAAGAGGATTTTGGAGGCTGTGGAACAAGCTCACCATTTTAGTTATGTGCTACATATTTACTACTTCCTGTTAGAGGACAAGAGAAACCTAGTATTTTTGGTGAACCAGACTTCCAATGTTGAGGAAAGTTTTGAATGGAATTTTGACTGTGCATGACCCATTTGTACTTCTAATAATGGTACTAGAAAAATCTGGTCCCAGGTTTCATTCTCAGGCAGCTGGAACCATTACAGTGAAGTTTTTGAGTACAGATGAACTCGAGTTGGAATGGACTAGCCAGCCTCTTGTTAACTGAGAGTGTCATACCCTTTTATTGAGAATTACAGTGAGAAATGAGGAAGACGACTGGGTCCAAGACCACCCAGGGAGCTACCCTATTAAGGAAAGTATTTTGTAACTCTCCAGCATCCTCCCTACCCCCTCACTGCTGCCAGAAACTTTCCTTGTATTTCACTAGAAAAATAAATATTTAAAACTGATTTGTTTCTGTCTAGTTTAGGTTTCTTGAGAATTTTTTAGCATTTTCATCTATGCCATGGCAAATGTCTAAGCTATTTTATACTTGAGAGAATCATGTCACCTGCCATAACTTTACAGAAGTACTGTCCTAGCCATCACTTTCACTGTTTAGAATGAAAATAATAATGGATTCTGTTCTCTCAATATGTACCTTAGATGCCATTCTCTGTGTGGGTGTATGTGCACTTTTTAAATTGTGACTTTTAAAAGATCCTTTTGAAGATAAGAAGGATCCTTTCTGATAGAAGAGCATCTTTATTTAGTTCAAATAGGTGTTTGGCCATGTGGTGAAGGCTTCTTGGTCAAAAGCTAGTAAGAGGACTTGCTTTCCCTTACTGCTGCTGTGTTTACACAAGCCAGAGGAGGTCTGAACATTTGTAGGGTGTGAGTCAGGGCTGAACATCTCACAGGTTTGTATGAAAGGTAGGGATAAATTTTGTCAAGGAGTATAGAACATGATGATGAAACCCTAAAAGATTACCTCATTCAAATCCACTCTCACTCCCGCCACCCACAATAGGAATATTGTGGTTTTTGTTTATCCTGTTAAAGTTTCCATTTTTTCAATGCCAACTCTTAGAGACACCTTTGGTTCCCTGATGTTGAGTGCTTTCAATGTTAATTCTGTTTCATGAAGTAGGATTTTGGGTGTTTGGTAAATTTTCTCTGAGTTCTTCTAAATCAAACTAAATGACTTAGCCTGGTGACAGCTTTCATTAAGATTTTCTTGTGTAACAAACTGTCAAGTCACCATTTACCTTCCCTTTTTGTTTACCCCTATCATTTCTATTTTTGAAGTTATAAGTCTCACGTTGAAGCCTTTACCATGTTTCATGCTGAATAAATCAGTTTTTCTATGATTATTTAAATATGTTTATTGTGTACAGCCTCTGGAGCTAAGTCATGATTGATATGAATGGTGATACAGTGCTCTGTCTGCAGTAAGCTATCTAGGTAAGAAGAGCGGCTGTAGTAGGAGTCATTGATACGGTGCTATACTGGAAGGCTGCAACAGTTTCAAGTTCACTGCACCACTTCTGGGAGTTCTCTTAGCACTTCCTCTTTTTTTTTACAATACAGTTTCTTAGGCTAGTTGTTCAACTGGGCAGCTCCTCAGAATTGTTACATCTATAATTTTATTATGTGACAATATAAATGTTTATGAATGGCTCCTAATCTTAGAGTGGCATTGGGACTTACATTGGGAGTTGGTGGAATTTACTTTTTGACATTTGTGATCACTGAGATTTTGGCATTTAGATATTTAAGTTTGGAAAGTTGAGATTCTGTGTTTAGTTGTCTTGGTGAGCAGTATCTCATGATGTCAACAGATGAATAGAGGTATATTTAAAGACGGGTAAGTGGGCTTTTCGCTGTGTAGCTATCCTGATGCACTGAGCCCTAATGTAAAGTTCCAACTCAAAGCTCCATCCTCTTTTTCCTGTTTACATTGATAGGTGTTCATTCATGTAGATTTCACCTCCTGGACTCTACTATAACTACTGCTTGTGCTTCTACTAAAGTCTGAGAGCTTCTGCACATAAGGCTGATTCCTTTTGATAATCTCTTTATGTCCTTAACTCATTCTGTGTGAATTGTTCTTTCACTCTCTCCTTTTCCCTTCCCCTTCCTTGTTTGTGAAAAATGTTTCTTTTCTTTAGACCATCTCATTAACTAGTCTTTGGCTTTTCAGATTTAACATCTTGGGTTATTTTATATGGCATTTTTATTCTATCTTCAGCATTCTTTATTTTTTTGAAATGCATATATAAGCTTATTGAAATGGGCTGCATTTGTTTTAATTAGCATATAAAATAATAAGTTTCATTATGGTGAGTTCTCATAATCATGTTGAATACTTGGTCATGTTAACTCTTACTGCCCTATTTTGTTTCCTGTCCCGCCATTGTATTTAAATTTGCATGCCACATTGTCATTTGTCTTTCTGAGTGTGGATTCTTTCACTTCACACCATGATCCCCAGTTCTGTCCATTGTCTTACACACAACATTTCTTTTTTAAAGTTGAGTGAAACTCCCTTGTTTATGTAGACATGGTTTTCATTATCCATACATGTTGATAGATTGCTAGGTGGGTCTATATCTTGATTACTCTGGGTTGTGTTGCAGTAAACATGGATGTTATGATAGTTTATGTCAACTTTACACAAGCTAAAGTCATCTGAGAAAAGGGAACCTCAATTAAGAAACTGCCTCCAGAGCTGGGCGGTGATGGCCATGCCTTTAATCCCAGTATGCAGGAGGCAGAGCCAGGTAGATCTCTGTGAGTTCTAGGCCACTGTGGTCTACAGAGTGAGATCCAGGATAGGCACCAAAACTACACAGAGAAACCTTGTCTCGAAAATAAACAAACAAACAAACAAAAAACCCAAAAAAAACTGCCTCCGTAAGATTGGACTATAGGCAAGCTTATAGGGTAGTTTCTTAATTAATGATTGACGAGGGAAGGCTTAGCCCATTACTGGTAGTGCTATCCCCAGGCTGGTGGTCCTGGGTTCTGTAAGTGGGCTGAGTAAGCCAGAGGGAGGAAGCCAGTAAGCAGCATCCCTCCATAGCCTCTGCACCAGCTCCTGCTCCAGGTTCCTGCCCTGTTTGAGTTTCTGTCCTGACTTTTCTTCAGTGAAGAACAGTAATTTGGAAGCGTGAGCCAAATAAACCCTTTCCTCCCTCCCCAAATTGCTTTGATCATGTGTTTCACCACAGCAATAGAAACCTTAATTAGCTAGGACAGATGTGCAGCTATCTCTGAGCAGTGCCGACTTGGGTGCATTTAGGTATATTCCCAGGTGTGAAGCAAGTCATATGCTAGTTCTGCTTTTAGGTTTTTGAAGCCTGGATACTGATTTCCAAAGTGGCCTCTGCTCCTTGTCCATTCCCACCAGCAGGGTTTAAGTCCTTTTGCCCTTGTCCTTCCCAGCACTTGCTGTTTCCTTACGATTCTCATTCTGACTGGTATGAGGTGGAACTCCAGTTTAGTTCTGATGTGTGTTTCCCTCCTAGTTAAGGATGTTTAAGATTCTTTTCATTGATTTATTGGCTTTTTGTACTACTTTTGAGAAATGAGTTTTCCACTCAGATTGGCCATTTATTGATTGGTTTAGAGCAAAGGTGATGTTTCTGCGTTTTTTATATTACAAATTTTATGTTCCCCTCTGTGATTTATAGTTGGCAAAAATTTTCTCCCAGTCTGTAGCTTGGCCCATCATTCTGATGATTATTTACTGTGTAGAAACTTTGTTTCTATTTGCTTAATTTTTGAGATTATAGTATAAGTACATCATTTCCCCCTCCCTTTTCTCCTCCCAAACCCTCCCATATATCCATCCTTGTTCTGTTTTGTTAATTGTTTTTATATGTATTTATTTATATGTATATTCATATATATTTCTAAATACAATCTTCTCAGTCTGTTTGATGTTACTTATATGTATGTCTTTAGGGCTGACCATTTGGTATTGGATAATTAATTGGTGTACTCTTCCCTGGAGAAGAGTTTCTCCCACTCCGAGCATTTCTTAGTTACCTGTAGTTCTTTGTGTCTTGATTAATTTTTTAATTGTATTTTGGATGGTGTGAGCAATAAGAATCTAGTTTCACTAGTCTACATTTGAATATTCAGGCTTGCCAGCATTATTTATTGAGAAGGCTACCTTTTCTCCCATAGATGTTCTGACACTGTCTTCAAAAGGCATGTGACTGTAGCTGCAGGAGTTTATTTGAGGGCCCTTTATTCTCTTCTCTTGATCTGCTTGTCTTATTTTCTTCCAGTACCACCTTGTTTTTGTTGTCTGGGGTATAATTGGAAGTTAGGTATCATGATACCTTTAGCAGTTGCCGTTTCAGCTGGAAGATTGCTTTGATTATTTGGAGTATTTTGTGCTTGAGATGAATGTTGTTTTACTTTTCAGTTTTTGTAAAGAATTTTATTGGAATTTTGGTAGGGACTTACTGCATTGGCTCTGTAGATACCTACATATTAATTTCAGTAAAACAGCCATTTTCAAAATACTAATTCAGAGAGGTATCTTGTAGTGTTTAGTTTTGTTAAGGCATCATTAGGAAGGGACTTACTCCACAGTCCCAGCTTGCACAGAGCTGTGTATCTGTGTAACTCAAGCTGACTTCCCATTTCCTGTTTCATTATTCCAAGTGATAAGATTACAGGTGTGAGATGTTTCATTTTCTTTAAATCTTTTGCTATAGTTTTGGATATAGCCCTTCCCAAATCTTAGTCTTTCTAGATAAGTTTTTAGAAGATGTACAGTATCACCACAGGGCCTTAACATAATCAAATAGCAAAATTCAGATAATGTATATGACCAAGATGACCAGGATCAGGACAGTAGTAGAATAGCTTGAAAAT